GTTTTGTTTCTGTTTGTATTTATGCTGAATAAACGTATTATCTACCTGTAAAATACTAAATTGATATTTATACGGCTCATAATTTTCTATTCGATACCATAGTATATTTAGTATTTTAGAAATATTTCACAAACTAATAAATGTGCCCAATTTACGTCATTCATTATTGTTTATTCGCATTAATATTGGGATTTACGTACGTGCGTATTTAATATGGTGTAATGGCCACGATGACAACACTCGCATTCACCGAGATAACACTTATTGGAAAAATAATACATTATTTTATTATGGCGTAAAGGATTTTACAGAAGTCACGGGTTTTTGTAATTCCGCAGACAGGGGTTTGACTAATATTATTACTTAGTAGCAGTAGAGCTCCTTGTGAAATAGATCCTCCAGGGAAGTACTGCCACCTCACCTATTTCTGCCGTTAAGCAGTAGCGTTAAGCATTACTGTGTTCCGGTTTTGAAAGGTAAGGGTGCTGGTGAAATTACAGGCACATGGAACTTGTCAACTTATGTCTCAGGATGTCGGGCGCAATAGCAGTGCCCCTCAGAACTTTATGATTTAAAAACGTTATCGACAGGTGTGTAGCTTACCATCAAGTGCACTACTACTTGTTCGTCACGTCACTTGACATTAAAAAAAAAATTGAAATAAAACTGAAACGACATTCAACACGAATGTCAAGCAATTTTTTTTAGATATCAAGTGACAGGACAATCAAGACGTACGCCTGGTGGTAAGCGACAAGTTATTATTATAATTTAGTGCAAATTGTACAATTGAAATTGTGTACTTGGTACTTGGTGCAACGGGCTGGTATCCGCAACTCGGCGACAAAGCGCCTATTGTGCTTATATAATAAACGAAGGAAATTAGATTTTATTTCTGAAACTTCCTAACAATAACAATTATAAATATATGAACGTAAATAACAGTACATGAAACTTACTTATGTAAAATAATAGAAATAATATAACGATCAAAGAATGCAAAGTTAATATATTTGCAACTACAATAAAATGCGCTAGTAACATTGCGAAATATTAACGTACAACAACCAGTTATAACAAAAACTAGTTAAGTTGCTTGTCTATGGCCGGATTTGTTTGACGCATATCCATTGAAGCAACTTCCTAGCTCTTTGATGTATTGTAAATTAGCGAGTACAAAACCGATTGGAGCGTTATAACGAACGAATGAATATGAATATGTAGCAATTGTCGTATACGCCTTTGTAACGAAGACTAGTGCAGGCAATATCGTGCTATAACATGTTTTAGTGCTTTTCAACTTCGAGTTTTTTTTATTATTAATGAGAACCATCTTCAAGTCCAGTTTTGGTGAACCAGACCTCTTTACGAGAACTACATAACAAAATTGTATGGTATTTGTATTTTTGTTCAATAACTTCTCCAATGTTTTATTGAAAAATCGACATGAGAAGTTAGGGACCTGGTTTCCAATATTACAAGCTTCTGCTTATTTCAGGTAGGTACCAGTCTCTTACAAATATAATGTACTTTATATTTGACTTTGTACGTTATACTTTGATTCTAGTGTAGTTACACTATACATAGCACAATAGTTATTGTGATAAATTGTTATTATTATTATTCAAATTCTTTCTTTTAATTGAGTTTGCAAATAAATACGGAACACCGTCAGTAAAGCGGTAATTACTAGAATTTTACAAAAACAATCCATTTATTCGTCCCACTGTACTAAAGAAGCTGACGAGTTCTCGTTTCAATCGATCGTCACGATAATCATATCGATACGTCGGCACCATCTCGATTTTTTTATAATACCAAGTAACGGGGTGAACAAGTCGTGCGCCTGGTGGTAAGGGACACGCCTATCCATGACAGTTGCAGTTTGCAGTGCCACTCTGAGCTTTAAATCGCAAAACTTACGTGCACCGCCACTGCGCCCGTCACCGTGAGGCATAAGTTGACAAGTCCCATGTGCCTGTAATTTCACCAGCACCCTTACCTTTCTAAACCGAAACGCAGTAATACTCACATTACTGCTAGGCGGTAGAAATAAAAACGATTCACTAGAAGCTCTACTGCTAGTAGATCAGGCCTATTGCCCCCATATACGGGACGATTTGTCGACACGATCCATCGTTTGAGACTGATCAAACTTACGAATCGATAGTGTACGTTTATATTTACTGTCTTCATGATCCGTCGTTCCAGAGAGTACTGTGATATATCGTTAGCGATTAACTTGAACGCCAAGGGAGTAGCGACGCATCGATACGATTATCGTGACAAGGAATCGTCTGTATATGGGGGCCTTGAAACGACGGATCGTGAAGACTCATCGTCCTGTTTATGGGAGGCTTTATTAGTAGTGAATTATTATTAGATAATGAATTTGCAAATATTCCGATATTATGTCATGCCAGACTAATTCGTCAACATTATCCTCATTTGCTTATTTAATGACAAGGAAAATTTTACAATTTGGGTTTTTGAATATGATGAAGGCATGTGTATATTGAGTTTGTTTTTGCTGAGCAAATATGTAAGGTCATCACTCTAACGTAACTCTAAGGGTGCTAACAGATTGACTGATTGTTTGCAGTTCATGCGTGAAATCGTATTTAACTTCACGCAAGCGAGACCTTGACTGCATGAATTTGATAACGACTTCACGCATTAACTGCATGCTGCAGACGATTTCGGCTGCATGAAGTCGGTTTCGACTGCATGCAATTAATGCGTGAAGTCGTCATCCGAGACCTCGACGCATTAACTGCAAACGTGCAGTCAATATGTTAACAGTATAAAGTAAATCAATTAAACCATCATTATTGTTTTAAAAGTTAAATAATAACAATGTGCCAAACAATCACACCAACTGCATGGTCTCAAACTAGGAAATCCCCTATACTATGAGTACCAGAGCAACGGAACTCGGTCCGGGGCACTTCTCAGAACACTCATGCTAGTACCGATTCAGAAAAAAATATTTCAAAAGTTGGTACAACCGGGAATCGAATCCGGGACCACCTCATCCAGTGCCCACAATGCAAATCGTAACAGAGCCCTTTAAAGTAATTTTGGGGGTTACCATACTTATCGACGAGGAATTGCACTAAGCCGGTCAGAAAAAGCTTTTTTTTTATAATACGAAGTGAAGGGACGAATATGTCGTGCATCTGGTGGTAAGCGACACGCCTATCCAAAACAGTTGCTGTGCCATTCAAAGCTTTTTATCGCAAAGATCATATGGGCCCTGCCCGTCACCCTGAGACATAAGTTGACAAGTCTCATATGCCTGTAATTGCACCAGCACACTTCCCCTTCAAAGCCGGAACGCTGTAATGCTCACATTACAGCTTGGCGGCAGAAATAGGTAAAAATTGTATATCTAATAATAGCGAAAACAATGCATTCCTATGTGTGGTGACCCCTTATCCTTATACCAACGTATCTCACCTGAACATTATAGGTTATCCATTTTATTCGTGACTATATAATATCACATTGTAATTGTAAAAACTTACTTGTGTCCATTCTTAGCAGCCAGATGAAGAGGCGTTGAGGAGAAACTCCGGCCTCTGCAGATTGGATATTTGTAAGGGTTCACCAAGTCTGGCCTGACTCGGAGTAAATGCTGAACTGTCTCCAATCTAGGAACAAAATAAGACAAGTTCGTAACAATAAATAAAAAACCGACCTCAGAAGTCATTCATTCCATACTTTGCCACTCTTAGAAGTGGAATATTTTCTTCAAATTTAAATGGGACCACTATCGAGGTACCACCTTCTTTCCAAGAAAAAAAAATGAATTACAAAATCGGTTCATAAACGCCGGAGCTATCGCGTAACACACATACAAAACAAAATTCGTTAAACAGCTAATCAAGGTCTCTATAAAAAAATCAGTATACCTCACAATCGCCACAGGGAAATACTATCCGTAATTTTTTTTACATTTTAAGAAATCACAAAAATTAAAAACGCCATGGTAGGTGTTTAAATCATAAAGAAATATGATCTGCCTGAATTAGCTCATACATTAATAATAATATAATTAGTATGTAACATCATTATTCTATTAAAAGTTTCTTATTGTGTGTATAAGTGACAAACCATGCGCTTCGTGGTAAGCGACACGCTTCCCCATAGCAGTTGCCGTACCAATTATATTACGGTGGAAAGGAATGGAAGCGAATTTTTGCAACGATAATGTACATAGCATAATTAACTTTATGGTCAATTAAGTAACGAACAAACTAGGTACAAGCCAAAATCTTCCGCAAAATTCTCGCGTATGCTCGAGAATGCTCGCGCATTTTTATTTTTTTATTTAATTATTTTTTTATATTACCAAGTGACGGGACGAACAAGTCGTGCGCCTGCTGGTGCTACCAGCAGGCGCACTGCCACTGAGGGGTACTGCCACTGCGCCCGTCACCCTGAGACGTCAGTTAACAAGTCTCGTGTGCCTGTAATTTCACCAGCACCCTTAACCTTCAAGACCGGAACACAGTAATGCTGACATTACTGCTTAGCGGCAGACATAGGTAAGGTGGCAGTACTTCCCTGGACGAACACTTTCACAAGGAGCTCTACTGCTACTAAATTTTATTACACAGAGGTAATAATAACGTGCCAAACAACAACATCGATTACCTGTTCTCAAAGTAATGAATAATGGTTTATGGCTTAATGCTTTGTTTTCTCTAAACATTCACTTACAATGAGAAATCAAAACAAAAATGTACGAGATTCGGAACATAGTTTATTCGTTCTATTTAAATCGGAGTTTGGTAACATATCCAGGTATAAATAAAGCAATACTAATAAACAATACTGCAAGTTTAGTCCTAAAATTAGGTATTGAAATAATTATGCTGGACAGACAAGGCCAATACCCTGTACTACACGTAGTACAGGGTTATTTGGTACACGTACCAAAGCACTGATTTACGACCGGGACACGACCGAGAACACTCAGCTTAGGACCAATTTAATAAATTTCATTTCTCAAATTGGTCCTATTTGGACAGCTGGGCCACCGAGGTCGTCGAATACCGAAAAATACAAAACAAAAATTTTTTTTTTGAACACGTAAAACCAAGGCAAGAATTAGAAGAAATAAATTTCTGTACGCATTGTCTGGCTTGAGTAATAAATCGTTTATTATTACTCGTACAGAGATTTATACTTGTTTAAATACGTACAAGTATTTCCTTCACGCTTCTCACTACCGCATAAATATATCCACACAAACTTGAACAAACTAACAGCTAAAAGCAAACTTACATCTTGAAAATTGGAAGAGAAATCTAATTTGTAACTCCTCGGCCGCAGCTCAAAGGAGCGTTGATATAAGTTAATGTAACTTCATTAGCTAATTTGTAATATTATGTTATGGTTGAAATTCGAAGCATGTTTGTATGTCAGTTACTTCATAACGGTAATTTTTAATTATAAAAAAATAATTCATAGAGGAATGACTAAGAAACTAAGGGTCGCTTTTTGTAAATAAATATAATAATAAATAATATAAAATAATAAATAAATGTATACAAACATTTATCATTTACAACATTTATTTCGAATATGATAGATCAAAACAACCAGTAGCCGTAGCATGGCAGCATATGTGTGATAAACCTCCCTGTAATAATATTTATTTCAGTCGATATATAGCTAAGTTGCTTAATTGATAATGAACTATTGTTATTGTCGTTTAATCATCGCCGAGTAAACGATGAAACAAAAAATTTTTGGTTTTGTAGTCTGTTGTTATATATTTTACCTTATATTAGTTATTATTTACGTATTTCTAATTACTATCATGTATTTAACAGTATTAAAAATGTTCCACACCTTTTTCCAATAATAATTTATATATGTCTCTTTGTTTGTTTTTACTATTTCTTTTCATCCCGTTCGTCAAACTCAATTTTTACGTTTGATAAGATTACTGAGCAGAACTGTCAAAATGTTTTTAAACCAGATGTGACCTTGCAGCCATGTTTGGCACTGTCACGTCACGGTGCTCGCCATGTTAGCTATTGTGATGAAATTTTAAAATGTCAGTTTATCACTCGATTTATAGAACTATTATTAATATCGAATTTGAGAGCTAAATGTGGATATAATAGCGTCATCGAAGCGGCATACTACGGGGGTTACAAGAGCTAAATGGCTCACTAACGTGGATTTTTGTCTTTCAAGTATGCAGTACCTTTTGTGCAGTTTTTGTTTGACTAGTTTTAGTTCAAATAGTAAATTTTGAATATCAACCTGAATGTTATTATAGAAGCGTAGACAATGCCCTTTAAATGGTTTTGTGACGGTGAAGACGACTGTCACTGAACATGGGCATAAAGATTTTTCTGGCCGGCTTAGTGCGATTCCCTGTGGATAAGTGTGGAGACTCCATTAGAACACTAACGGTATTCAAAGTCCAAAGTACTTGATATCCTTAACTTTACGGCACCACACATGTAATTACCTTACAGCGGTCAAACTAAGTTATAAACTTGGGGCTGGAATATAAAGTCGCAAAGTTAGGTTACCGGCAAGTTTATGACTAAAACTTCAGTTTAAAGTTTTGTGAAATATGAGGTTGGGAAGTTATGATAATTATTTGAACCCATATGTCAGAGATATTAGAAATAAATTCAATTTTTAAAGATCTTCTTTTAAAGAATCTTGATGATTTCAAGCAATGCACCTACATACAATTCTTCAGGAAAGTGACAAAGATTTCTATACGAAATACAAAAGTGCTACTATAGAATAGTAAAATCTTAGAGTGACAAAGAAATATGATCTCAATGTGTGAATTTCTAGTCAATAGTCATTTTTATTAAGGCAATTTATTATTTTTGTTGTTTGATGTTGCAGTAGAGCTCCCTGTGAAGTTCCTCTGCCGCCAACAGTAATGTTAGCATTACTGCGTTCCGGTTTTGAAGGGTGTTCTGCCGTCCGCTAACCAAAACGCGACTAAGTGACAAAATATTTTTTGAGATATCATAAAAAACCATAATCACAATAACAATTTCAATATTATAAAACTTTAAAATATTGAAATTGTTTATTGATATTTCAGCTATGCATCGTTAGGGTAAGTTCCGGTAAGTTGAACACGTCAACTAATTTTAAGTGTTTTTAAAAGAAAATTTTGTGCTCTATCTTTTTCTATTTGAAACGGATATTGGACTACATTATGTTTCAGGGTGTCGGGCGCAGTGGCAGTGCCCCTCAGATCTTTGCAATTTAAAGTTCTGAGTGGCATTGCAACTGTTATGGACAGGCGTGTAGCTAACCATCAGGCGCACGACTTGATCGTCCCGTCACTTGATATTATAAAAATATGATTATTTTATTACCAGACTTCGAAAAAGGAGGAGGTTAATATGACTTTTTTTTATTGTGAGATAACTAAGACATTTGTGAACCAATTCAACGATTCTTTTTTCTTCTTCAAATTTGAAGAAAACATTCTACCTCTAATGGTAGCAAATTAGGGGATGAATCCGGTTTATTGGACTTCACCCACTTTCCGATTTCCATCAAACTTGGCAAATAGATGTAACGAACACAGCGAAAGCGGATAAACTTTTAAGGTCTCTTTTTGTTCTCTTAAAAAAAATATAATTATTATTTTTATTTATTACTTTAGCGCGTTTTCTATTATTAATTATTTAGCAATAACGTCTTAACAGGGAGCATGTAATTTAAATTTATAAATAAAAACTGAAAAAATAGTAAAGTATTTTTCTTAAATAAACCACACTCGATTAAGACAGTATTACCCCAAATAGTACACGCAAAATAGGCGCCTTGACGTCGAGTTGCGGACACTAGCCCGTTACACCAAGTACCAAGTAAGTAAGTACCCCAAATAGTAATACCAAGGGCGTCGTAAAAAGAAAAGCATCAAAAGGGACAGCAGCATTTCCCAGAGCGTTAAATTGCAGCTTTCCAAAATCTCTGTCCAGTTTTATTAGACCTCCTTTGGACAGGCCATTGTCAATAATACGCTTAAAGCATATGTTGCAACGATTTGCTAAGGAAGCATGTACCCTAAAATTTGTCACAATAGTGCGAGCCTATATTTAAAAATTCTATCCATTAAAACGAACAATCGAATAAAGTGACAAAGTGTTCAGTAAAAGTTTTGTGCCTGTGATTGGGCTGGATGTCCTTTCAATCTCGAACTTATTAGTGCTGCTTTATGACAGCAGTAGGTGGTACCTAAATTGATGATAGGGACCAGCAAAAGTATCGTGTTATTTATTGTTTGTGCTTACAATTAAAGAATGAAAGTATACAGTAGTATTTATTTACCTGCCATAGTGCGCAGCGAGGTCCAACGCGGTCTCTTCCGTGATGTTCTTGACCGTGACGTCAGCGCCGGCCAATAGGAGTTGTTCTACCACCACCACGTAGCCTGATCTCGCTGCTATGAGGAGTGCTGTTTCTTGGTCTGACGTCTAAAAGAATATTTTCATATTACTAACTGTTACCTAAGTTGTCTTCGTTTCCAGAGACTTCTAGTTCATGGTTTATGGATGGGTGAAATTAATTAATAATAATAATGGTTTATTTTCTCAACATAAGGAATAAACACTTATATTATAATAGACTAACAATTTTAAATGTTGACGAAATGAGAGAGACTGGAGACCGTACTCGGCAACTAAACCTATATTACAGGTTTAGTCTCTCATTTGAATTGAATTCGTTAGCTAAATAACGCCTTTATTTAGTTTATTATCATTGTTAACACATTATTCGTCACACGGTCTCCTGAAAAGATATATCCTTCTTAGGCCTTCTTAGGCTTCTTGGCCATAGGTTCCCAAACACGTTGAGCAATTAAAAACACATATTTTTTTATAGTAACACAAAAAATAACAAGGAAAAGAAATTATATGAATCATATAGTGCAGTTTATATAGATAATTCAGATTTTTTCAATCCCCTGGTCAGCATCAACGATCCCAAATGCTTCCGAAGCTCCTAGAACTCTTCACGCCCACTGGGGGGGCGATAAGGACCACTTTGGGAAACTATGGCATAGGCCATAGCCAGTCTCGTTCTCCCGATGTAGGTTGGGGATTTCACACGTTTTCCAAGGGCTGCAACCTACTTCGACGTACAAGTTTCATCACGAACGAACGTTTTCCTACAACGTTAGCAAGTGGTATTGCCAATACGTACGCAACTTAACAAGCGAAAAAAAAAACTTCTAAAATAAGTCATAGGTACATGCCGTCTTAGGAATTCGAACCGAAGCGTCGCGACTACTTTTAATATATAAATTAAAGATATATATTTTTTAAATATTAGACAACATCACATACCATGCTCTAATCCCAAAGTAAGTAGCTAAAGCACTTGTGTTATGGAAATCAGAAACGCCGTTGTTTCTGTTTTGATTTTGATTAAATATTATGATATGTTTTAACACTGAACACACGGATAGCACAATTTTTTGCAACAAAACAAAAAAAATAATAATAATGCACACACTCAACATAACCCCGCACTAGGGAAACCCTGTGTCGCGGGTGCCATGGACACATACATAGACATCCACAAATTACACCCCAACTCACGAGAGAACTAAATGTAGGCCATACAAATATTTCTCCCCGTCCGGGAATCGAACCTGGGACCTCTGCGTGACAGTCTGCGGCATGGTAACAGTTCGGACACTGAGGCTGTTAACTGTTAATTTAGTTTAATTATTTAATTGTTATTTATAAGTGCAATCGTTACCTGAAATGTGATCGGACATTTAGTTAACAGCCTATATAACTTTTAATCTTGTTATACTAAATTATTTATTTATCTTACTATTACTCACCATCTGATCTACATTTACAGGAGGATTCTTATGAGCCAGGAGCATATTGACGATGTCCGCGTCACCCTTCCACGCGGCCAGGTGGAGGGGGGTGGCACCCTTCTTGTCCACTATGCATGGTGACGCGTCCACCGATAGGAGCAGCTGGACTATCTCTCTGTTAACAAATATGAAAAAAAAATTTCAAGATTTGTTACTAATGTTCTTTACACCAGAAGATATGAAACTTTACAAAGATACCTCGTATCATCTCAAAAAATAATTACAGATGCAGCCAAATCAATCGTCATATGTGACGTAATAAAACGTCTACAGAATTGTGACCGGTGAAGATTCAGAGGTTATATCAGCTAAACGTTTAGTGCATATAGTGATACTGGGGAAAGTTCCGAATTGCATATCGCTGCTTATAAGGAATAGTGGTGCAATCCAAATTGATACTTTTTTTACTTATCACTGGGATTTATTTACAAAATGCCTAATTTTGTTATAATTGGATTTCAAAACTTTTAATTGGTTACAATAATCACATAACATTGAGGTGGTCTACGATTCGTTAACTTTGGGCGACAGACGCTTCTCAGCTTTTTTAAGCCATCTCCCTGATGAATGAAATGCTTTTGTGGTATTTGAGTGTATGCTGAAGAATTTGTCATTGTATTTGTGATTTTCAACCCTGTACACTGGCTGATCGGGGGTCAGAACCTGAACTTATAAGGTTCCTGTGCGCGCACGGGTTATAGTGCGCTTCCCGCAGAACCAAGAGGTTGATAAGGAGGGACGCTATAAAAAAAACTTATGTAGAATGATATGGGACTGTATTTGTGATTTTGTGTTTGCGATTTTTATACGAAGGGCATACTACATGTGCAATTCCGATCTCTAGCTAATATCACTATACGTGAGCAGAGATGGGCAGTGGGTTAAAACCCAATCAACGCGTCCGGCTTTAACTAGGTTTTTACACAAAGTGCCGGATATTACAACCCATATCTGCCCAAAATCGAGGGCGTAACATTATAGGTACGCATAAAATAATACGGAGTTTGGTTTAATGCCATACTTATAAGAAATTTCGATGTAAAAAATATTTTTTAAACGAAAAAGAACCAACTCCACACAATACCCACTTTGCAATTCTGTGGACTCTCACTTACTACTACATTACGATTCGATTTTAATGAAAATCGATTCAAATGTATACGATAACTAGTTATTGTAGGTATCGATTTATTTCAAAACTATTTTCAAGCGAATCGATTCAATAGACGGGCAAAATATGCAAGGAATAAACATTTTCTAATAATATCATTGCGTCTGAGCAAAAGTCGATTTACAAATATTTCAGTTGTAAAAATGTGTGCCCTCGATTCCGGGCGTTAATGGGTTTAAACCCGATTGAAATTTACAAAGCGACGTGTTAAAACCCGGGCGCTTGCCGACCTGTGTATGTGAGCCATGATTCTGATTAGAATAAAAAGTGACGTAAAAAATGTACTTTTTACAACTTCGCTAACTCGTGACTATGTATGTGGCTTTCCTTGTCCACTACACAAAGCCATGATGAGATGTCACCAGCCTTTTTATATTTACGGATATGGAAAAACAATGCAACTTCCTTATTATTAGCGGGTCCGGCTATTTCCAAGGCTATGATGATATAATTAACTAAGCCTGACATTTTCGTGTCAAATGCGAAGAGTCATTATAATTCTATTGACATTTCCTAAAATACTTAGTTCTTCTTGCTCGCTCATCTCCACGCGTGTCAACAACACACACAAAAACTATTTTTTTACGAAATACCTAAAATAGTAAAACAAATCTCCACGCTTAATTTTTTTTTGCATAACTTCAACAATATTCGCTTTAAAAGGCATATGGTTGGTCAGGTTTTCGAAAAATAGTACTAAACGCGCATTCAAGTACTTATTACACCTATGTTTATAGAGCAGACTTATTTAAATATAATTTCAAGCATATTCGTTAATTAACAGCGATTTGTTAAAGAATTTGAAGACACGTGACGTTGTTGTGAACCTTTTTGACTAACACGTCACACTGAAGCGCCTATATCAATCTTCAGAGCAAAGAAGTCGCATTACAAAGAACAGAAAATTAGAGCGCCAATTAAACAGGCGCTTTCGTCTAACCATTCAACCTACTACAAACACAGACCAGGTACAAGATACATAAATAAGAACTAAACGTACTTATGTCCACGTAGACACGCGTGGTGAAGTGGAGTATACCCATTGTCGTCTTGAACATTGACGCCCGCGCCTCGTCTTAGACTGTAACAAAACAAAAATAATTAATAAAAAGGCTATTTCACTATTTTCGCAGTCGGTAGGATTCGAACCTACGCTCCCAGAGGGAATCTGATTTCTAGTCAGACGCCTTAACCGCTCGGCCACGACTGCTGTTGAAGGTTCTCGCGAAAATAGCGGGCGCAAGCGATGTGTGCTCTACAAAGGTGTTGCGTGTTTCTTGGTTCAATCCATGAGACTTTTTTATTGATATTAGTGAAAGGCAAATAGATTTTTTTTTGCGTTTGCGTTATTCCATATGTAAACGTTAATATAGCTATTGGATAGTTCTTGCTAAAACAAGAAAAATACATCTAAATTTTTCTTGTTTTAGCAAGTCAGCCGTGGGACCTGTAAAGAAACCGATACGTTTTGGTTTGATTGAAAAACCAATAATTATACGCGACTTAGTTCAGAAAAATAGTTTCATTTCCAATGTGTAGATAGTGATCGCCAAAACCCAAGAACACAATAATTTGTTACCGTCCACGTTTTTTAAAAAACTTCTAATTTATACGATAAAACTGTAAACAACTGGCCTTGACACGTAATAACGGTCAATGAACTTCATAAATTCAGAGCTCATAAAGATTTCTCAAGGAACAAGTTTAATTGATGTATACGATGTTACCTCCAATAAACTCAACACCTTTGTGTTAAGGTTTAATATGAATTGATAAAGAAATCGTGGACAATTGTTGACAAATCAGCTGAGTCAATAACCTAGAGTTATTGTTAGAATAACCGACATGAGGTATTTGAATGCTAAAAAACTATAGAAAACTAATTTTTGTACTCTTGAAAGCAAGGATATTTTTGTACTAGGAGTTTATGTATTGTATTATATCAATATTACAATAAGCTTCTCTCTGCCTCTTAAAGTATTTCCATTGTGCTATGACATGGGGTACTTCAAAAAGCTAGTCAACTAGACTCTCAAATGTCCATGGGCTACGACGATCATCTTCCATGTCCGCCTCCTATTATTTTTTATTATAACATATGACGGGATGAACAAGTCGTGAGCCTGATGGTAAGCGACACGCCTGTCCATGACAGTTGCAGTGCCACTCAGATCTTTAAACCACAACGATCTGAAGGCGAATCTGCCACTGCGCCCGTGACCTTGAGACATAAGTTGACAAGTCCCATTTGGCTGTAATTTCACCAGCACCCTTACTCTTCAAAACCGGAACGCAGTAATGATCACATTACTGCTTGGCAACAGAAATAGGTAATGTGGCACTGGACGAACTCTTTAGCACACAACTCTGAAACACACGCCCCATCTGAACCAACAAACCCTGAAGACAATCAGTATAGCGTATTAATCAAAGATATTTTTTTAAGATTCCTGTTTGCAATTGCAAATAAATAGCTATAAATATGACTTACATAATACAAGAGACTGGAAATAAACCTATTTTTACGATTTAAATCGCGGTTTTTTTGGGCCCGAAACGTTGGTTAGTTGATTTAGATCTGAAAAAAATAGTTTCATTTCCAATATATAACAACAGCGAAAACCTAAAACTCGATAAATAGATATTCTAGAATCTAGTAGCAAACTCGAAACAAAAATAACAAAGCGATTAACAAATGCTATCCGCAGTCTTCATAAAGACATATTGTAAGTTGTAATTAAACATTAGTAATGAAATTTAACTACACGCGAACGATACAAGTTTCATGGGTTACAGTTTGTATTGCTTATCAAAATCTACAATTGATGTTCAAGGTCGATGACGAATACCCATGGTTAAATTTGTTTACACAGATATCCACCTGCTGATATAAATATATCTGTATACTTACACAAATCGTTAAAATTTCCCATGGGAAATTATACCTTAACGCAGTTGAGAAAGTTCGAAATTTCGATGGCGAAAAGTAGCTCTTGGGTGTATTTTAGTACGTGATCGTTCGCAGGAGTCAATTTGTAAGTAATGGTCAGTGAGTTTAGCAAACCGGATGGCGGTTCATATCGAGCATACCAAAAAAAGGCGCGTTGTTCCGAGAAAAACCTTCAAGCAGATTGTAATCTAACTTTAATTTTGTGGTTTGAAATTTGAAATTGAGAATCCTTAAATATTGAATTATAGTGCAAAGTGATTACATTTGTATGATAAATGAACGGGTAGAAATAGGAATTAATAGTAAAACAAGGATTACACAAAGGAAGGAAAATAAACTTTCACAGCAGCTTCCATTACACGTCGAAAAAAACTATTATATAAAACAAATCGAAAAAAACTAATTATAGAAACAGTTTTAAATACTAATAAAACATAAGAAAGTTAACGAGAAAGAATGCTACATTTAATTCAATAGAAATAGTAGTACACAGATAAAATATGTTTGTAAGACACATTCCCTATTGTTCTCAATAGTTACCATGTCGACCGAAAGGGGCATTTTAACAGAGATGAGGATATTACAGTATGTTATAAATTGTATGTCGATGCACTTAAGGAAAATGGTAATCAATATAATGCTAAAAATAATATGTAAAAATACCTGTTTTTCAAATTGTAAACCCAAGAGGGTAAACGGAGGCGCTTTGTAGAGACCATTAGCACTTTCAAAGGAGCCAATTATTCACATGACACTGTCACACAAACAAGCTCAAAGTGATCTCCTATCACGTTTGACAATTGATAACGCAGTAATAGATACTACAATGACTAAAACATTTGTTTTCGCATGTGACTCACCTATCGGCATTGAATATTTTCTCTCCAAGTTTCTTAGTTCTAATCCAATTCCTTTTAAAACTGAATTTGACTAAGTCAGACATATATGCAAACTCTTCACCGCAGCATATTTTTTTCTTCAATTCACTCATTTTTTCTCCTTTCACACTATGATCACCGCATAACCTTCTCTTTTGACCAGTAAGGCATAACTAAACGGGACACAGAGCACAAAATGACGCATAGGGAAAAATACTGGATTTATTATTTCACAGTTTTAAACTTTAAAAGACAAACATAGACTTAACGAACAGTGTCACCGCGGCTGAGACCTAAATACAGACTAATTGAAAAAACGTAAATTTTATTATCAAAGATAAGATAGTATTCTCGATTAATATAGTTGAAGTGCAGTAGAACACGATTGTTACAAACTTTCACGTCATATTTCGCACATGGTTTAGTTTGTAGTGATCACAAATAGCATGGAAAATTGAAGGTAGTCTTTCATAAAATCCAACTAAACATTTACCTACGGCGAATATACACAAATAAAGATAAGAAAATATAACACCCAACACACTAACACGTGTTAACACTATCAGAGTCACAGAACCCATTTTGTAGCAATCTGAAATTAGAGAGACTTGACTTGGGTTCATTTTATTGAAGGCTGTTTGTGATAATTAGTGATCAGATATACGTATACTTTTATACTTACACTTCACTTTTTCCCATGAATTGCTATCGAAATATGCAAGCGGCTTCTTAAAATACATAATTTCTTTATAATTCCGGGATCCCGAAATGGTGTGACATGTTTACGATATTCAGTTTCCAAATACATAACATTTTGGCTCGCTTTAACTCTTAAGTCTAATGATGACCAGGAATATGGCAACTGTACTATGAACAGTTAAGTGTGTATCAAATTTAGACACAAACGATAGCTTGGGTAAAAAAAATTAAGTTTTAACATTTTTTACATTCTATAATGATCAACTTACAATTCAAATGTTACATAAAATTACAAATAACATTTTAAACATTTATTTTCCTTCAATTTTATACCAAAAAATTTCGTCAAAATTTATGTCGCCGTATTTTTAACCGACTTCAAAAAAAGGAGGAGATCCTCAATACAACTGTATATTTTCTTTTTTTTGTATGTATGTTACGTAACAACGCATTTGTGAACCGATTTGGAAGATTCTTTTTTGTTGGAAAGGGGGTACCTTAGGAATGATCTCATTTCAATTTGAATATTCCACCTCCACCTTTAAGGGTGGCAAAGTAGGGGATGAATGACTTTTGAGGTCGGTTTTTTTTAGTAATGTACTGAGATTATTTCAATACAAAAGCGCGTTCCAAGTTAACGAGCAACCTAATAAATAGTAGGTAAATAAGCGTCCTATTATCAGACCACCACTAGTGAGAATACCCAGCTTTAGACGTAATATACACAAATAGAGAAAAAGAGATAGCACAAATGTTTAAAGACGGAAGACAATACAGTTTTAGGGTCGTATTCCAGAACTCTACTCAATACTCAAGTCAGGATATGAGTACTGCAGTGAGCACTGAAAATCATACTCAAGTCCGTGCCATTAGGGTCGTATTTCCAGTGCTTCAAATCATACTCAAGTCTGCTCAAATCCTGACTTGAGCATTAAGTAGAGTTCTGGAATATGACCCTTAGACTTGTCGCAACAATAGAGACCGAGACGACCTTCCCATATTTCTTATTTAGTCAATATTCCTAACACCCCGTATCGAAATATATCGAAATAACCCACATATGGAGCAATATAAATCTACGACAAATTACCTGACATGCTAAAATACAGAAGAAAAAACCTACGTTTTGTAACGGACTCAAATTTTTACTAAATCAAAAATGCTATTACTGAGTAATTAATGAATATTTTGAAGATAACTCTCGTAAGTAATATGAATACTTATTATTATTAATATTATTATATTATACTATATTATTATATTCTTAATTTATGTAATTGTTTGTTTTATTCTTCGATTAGTGGACTGTAGTAGGTCTGGTCAACACAACTTAGAGAATCTTTAATATAAACACAATTTTACTTAGAGAATTTTTAATAATTCCGCAATGACAAACATTAGTTCGCACGTTTTACTTCAGAGAGCAACCAGCGATCACACTGACATAAAACATAGATAATTTAAAAAATACGTTTGTTTAGCCAGAAACACTACTTACTTATAACCAAATTGTATTATAAATTGTAATTCCAGCTCATAAGATTATCATTTGTT